GAGCAATGTAAATAATACGCTGTGCTGAATACCCTATGATGCTGATACGCGTGAGATTTATGATCCTCCCCCTCCTCGCTCGTAGTCTTCTGCAAGATGCACTCCAGATCGGCGTACACGACAAACGGTAGACGCTCTTTCCTGTTGTGGTTGCAAAAACTGAGCCATTTGTCGTCCTCGCTAGGCAGCAGGATGGCGCAGTCGTTCATTTCTCCACAATCTATAGTATGGACCTGCAACCTTTCGCTCGAACTTAAATAGTGCAAGCATCTGTAAAAAAATTTTAATTAATATTCATTTCAAAAGATATTTATAATATTTTTTTACAAATTTATACGTACCGGTTGCAGATATACTTTTTATGACCATGTTTGTTTAGTTGCAAGCTCACAAGTCGGGACAAATTTTTTATCCATACAAAGTGTCCAATGTTGTTATCTCGCGGATCTGGCAAGTACAACATGTTGACGTGTCTGTCTATCTTGCGGTCAGTGAGACGTATCGGAAGGATCACATGTGTCGTTTTTCCTTTTTGTTTTCTTCTTTTCGGCACTGTACACGTTGATGGATATATTCTTTTGTTGCTCGAAGTTTGTTATTTGATTTACAGACATTGGAAACTCAATGTTCTGTAAATTGAGCACTGTTGTATAGTGTGGGTACAAGGATGCACGATTTGCGTCTCTATCGACTGGATACAGAGCCGCAACCACTGCCCACGCGAAACACGCATTGTCTCCAAATTTAACGTTGATTACCGCTTTCTTGATCTGTACTTCGCGCGGTAACTCAATGTGACATCCCGCACGCATCGGATTGTACTTGTTCACATTGATTGTTAGGTTGAGTATTCGCGACAATGCCCATCCGCCATCACGTTCTTAAAATTCTTCTAAAGATGCTAAAGTAGGCTCGATAACACGTCGCTCATACCACTCTTCGAGATCGGATGCGCGGAAGAGTTCAAAGTTTTTTGTGGTAATACTTTTGTTCGCGCGTTTATCACTCGTGACAAACTCACCGTTAAATGCAGTGTTCACTTTCACATTTGCGTGTCTCTCCCTAGCGTTTTGCACATGTTCAAGCACTATGTCCTTCGCACTCTGGAGAAATCGGAGAGGTTCGATAAAATTTACTTTTATAACCGCACCAGTTAATACGCGGCTATTGAAAGCAGTGTCTATTTCACGCCACAAGAGTCCTGCGGTTGAATGTCCGTTGCCAGTATGTACAAAACGCGTACGCAATGAATGTTTTAGTCCTTCGAGTCACGCAATTCGAGCGATCAACGATTGTTGAACATCGACCAATAATCTCGGTTTCGCTCGACTATGTCCTTCCAACGACTCGAGGCATTCATCACACCG